TCTCCACAATGTCTCGGTTGGAAACTTCCCCAACTTCCACCAGGCCAGCGAGCACGGCGAATTTCATCCTTATCCCCCTGATAGGCACTCCGGGGTTGAGCGCCATGGCGCCTGATCTCCCGTCCTTTCCATCACCTGGCTGCGCAGCGCCCGCTGTCTCCTCGCTAGCCATTGCTAAGGAAGGGACGGGACAGGTGGTGTTCACAGGTAAGGCACCTGTTCACCTCCGACGGGTGACAGTGCAGCCGATGTCGGGGAGGAGAAAGAGGGATCTATCTCCCCTCGAGCTGAGTTGTTGACAGTCTACAGGCACACAGAACACACGTTTTACTCCCCATCCAAGTTGTTTAGCGAAAGTAGGCAAGAAAAGGCGTGAGGATAGTGAGTTAGCCGTTGATAGCGCGAGACTGGAAATGTCACCACTGAACTAACGTTACTCCTCTCCCCTGCTCCGTAACTTGATCCCAGACGGATGGATTAATGCCGTTAAAAGCCGCGAGGAAGTGTCCCGCAGGTAACGAGGGGGGGGGACGCAGGTGTAGCAGAGCTCACCCTTTACCTGTTTCCTCCTCCGCTCGGTCAAACGGCAAACGAGGATACGGTGACTTCAGTATCTCCGTACAGCAGTGAAGTTGCTAGTGTCACTGAGTCCAGACACTTGACAGGTAGCGCGCTTGGCACAAGCCAAAACTCACAAACTGGAAAAGGAGGGGTAAGTCCGTTAAGCAGCTCCGGCGGAAGTCGACGAAGGACATATGTCCACTCCGTCCTCTCCGGCAAACTCCTCAGACTTGCCTAAATGTCAGCGTTACCCCAGCTGCGGCGCATTCTCTTCCTGATTTACCCCGGTAGCTTCAGCTCGTCACCGCCATGACAGTGTAGCCCTTGAGTGAGTGGCGCATGCGCAGTGGGGAGCTGAGTCTGTTGAGCTCATTGGCAGGTGTGCCGCTCAGGTGGCTTTTTAGCACGACACGATGGGACTCTGTTAAAATCAACAGAGCGTCCGTATTTATTCAGGTACAGCGAGCTGTGTTTCATCATCCTGACAGGGAAGTAAAGTACTTTAGCCTACTTGAGTACAGTTTTCACATACATGACCTTTATTCGAGTATTTCCATTTTCTGCTTCTTTATACTCCTCCACTGCATGTGCTTGCACTTTTTACCCCACTATATTTTTCACACATAGCCTTTTTACTTTTTACATTAAAAATACAATATGCAGGCATGTATAATATACGGTACTATACCACTGAGCTCCACATTGACAAACTAGCCTACTGCTTTGAAATGCTCTTACATGTACTCCTAAGTGATAAAAACATAATAATGTAATTAATGTATGGGCTGAAAACAGGCTTCGTAATTTTAGAAATATGGTAGAATCATGGGTGTAGATTTCAGGGGGACGCAGGGGACATGCACCCCTAAGTTTTTAGACCATGTGCACTCCCCCCCAAAATAAAAACATAGAAGTAGCACATTACTTTTATTTATACAAAAATAAAGATATTTACACTTTAAATTAATGCAGAAAAGGCACAATTTGTAGCATAAAAAAATCACCAGAATGCAAAAAAAGGAACAATAAAAACTGAACTCTTGGATAGAATATTACATTATAATATGAAAATCTAGAATATATTCACAAAATATTTAAAAATACAAATATTCATTTCATTTATATCCATAACTGTTTATCCTGTTGGGGGTTGCAGGAGGGCAGGGTACACCCTGGACAGGTGACATATAGAGACAGACATCCATTCACACTCACATTCACACCTACAGCCAGTTTAGAGTCACCAGTTAACCTGACGTGCATGTCTTTGGATTGTGGGAGGAAGCAGGAGAGCCTGGAGAAAACCCATGCTGACATGGGGAGAGCGTGCAATCTCTGCACAGACGGGCTCCCCCACCCTAGGCTACAACCCCCACCCCAGGTTCAAACCAGGAACCCTCTTGCTGTGAGGCGACAATGCTAACCACTGCACTGCCATGCCAAAAAATACAAATAAAGAGTACTATATAGCCTACTATATACACTAGACAAAAGCAGTAAGGGCAATGTGTATTGAGACAAAAAACACGAATATAAAGGGGTGACAAAAAAAATTGCATTTGAGGAAATGAGATGGTTTAATATAAGATGGTGGATAAAGTCTTGTTTTTATGTATAGCAGTGCTAATAGCATGAAATATGTTATTGCACTTTGCAAAAAAAAGTGAAGTTAGTGTGTCATGATACAAAGACAGTCCTGCAGATGGTTAACAGATAACTTAAGTGTGTCATTAAAAAGTGTAATGCTCCACCCTGAGCAGCTGCAACAATAAAAACACTGTTCATCATGTAGTAAAAATCTAATGATATACTTGTAATCACATTTTAAAAGGGCCACCCTGCATTATGAGCAGTTAATATTATGTTGATAACACCTTTGTAGGTTTATTTTAGAAAAGCTTTTGCTATCGGCCTTTTAACTTGTAATGGAAAAAAAATCCTTCCAGCTGACACACTCACATTAAAATTAACAGCCATAAATAAAGCAAAATGAATCAGAACTGCTTTCTGCCACTAATCTGAATTAAATGCAGCTCACTTGATCCCTGAGGAACTTTTTGAAGTGACAGTATAGTATTACAATAAGGAACAGGGCCTTTTTGCATCAGTTAAGAAACTGAACAGGGTGGTAGTTTTACCTTTACACTTCATAATAAATCCCAGAGGCGTCTGAGGATATTTAGGATAACTCTCATGTTGCCATGATACACGGCTACCACAACAGAACAATAAACCCTTAACCAATAGTCTGTAGTAGATATATCATTTTAGTACAATGAAGATCATTCAGCAACTGTAGATAAAAATCACTCCCTAAGACATAACAGATGAAAAAATAGCATAAATAATAAATCAGTGCAGTACTGTAGCATAGCCCCTGGAGGGAAACTTGTATCTTAGATATGTTGAACAAGCACCAGACAAAGCTTTGTGCTGGGAGAGAAAAAAAATCAGAAAGGAGGGTTGAATTGTATTTAGGAGTTTGTTTTTGTGCAGCACAACAGCACATTGACAGATGTCTGCATCCTGAGGCGCTGGAAGCCAAACATTAAAGCAAAGTGACAGCTCTGCTTTGCTTGCCTTTTCAAATCACCACCAACAACCCATGCCATGTGAGGTGTTTACATAGCTGAATAGATTAGACATCCCAGTTTCATGTCTATTATTGCATGAAGAGAAATCCAATTAAAACCCAACCTGTTAAATTATAATCCCTATGCTCTGTATTTAATAAACAATGCCCATCCTTTAAAGTATTTGTCTTCTCCTTTCTCTGCTCATACTGTTGACTTCATATTTGCTCTGCAGGATGGCTGAGCAACTATGAGCGTTGTTGCCACAGCGGCAGCTGGTGTCACTGTTACCACTGACCTCCCAGTAAAGTGTATCTGAGCCCTCAGGGACCCTGGGAGTCATGGAAGCCAGCAGCACCGCCCATGAGACACAGGCAGGCCTCGTCTCTGATGTAATGACCTGAAAATCAACAGACTTGTTCACTGCAGCCCAAAGGTAGACCTTCTTAAATAAGGTCTTGAAAAGCTTTTGCTGACCTTTGGGTGGAACACAGACAGTGCTTTATTATGTTTTTTTTAACTCGGCTCTATGGAGATAATGAGGCTCTAAGCTTGAGACATTCTGTGGCATATTAAAGTTTTACTTTAATCAACTTTTGCTCTCCTCCTGCCATCCTGTTCGAATGTCTCCATCTGGGCAGACAATCATCATTTCTGCAAATGATTTAGTGTCAAAGACAAGAGTTAAATCAATGAGCTTGAAAGAGCTTTACTTTTAGATTGTGTCAGATTAAAGCTTGCAGGATTCACTTTAAACACACAGAGAGCAGAAAAAGTACATTAACAATTACAAAAGAAAATTCTAAGCCAGCCATTAAGCCAACAATTTAATCTTGATACTTGTTCAAATAATAAACCTAGATTTTAGATGAGATAAACACAAAAGAAGGCAAATGTAGATGTAATACAGCTGCAATGCTATAAGGAGCTCTGGGCCTTCAGGTGTTGTTGATTTGTAAAGTCTGAAAACATTTTAAGGTGAAAAAATTAAAATAATAAAAAAATAGTCTGCTGCAGTGTTGTCACCTCTGTCTAAAAGCTACATAGTTTAACCTCTCAAATTTACATTTTCAAAATATCCCTGCATGCACAGAGACGCAGTATTTATAAGGCTTTCGTAACTGGTTTAGATATTAACGTATTAATAGTCTAAGGAATGCAGACACTATAGCACTCATAAGTATGCTTACTTTGATTGTATTTTGCAACAGACAAAATTCTTCCCTTTGTTATAATGACAGTTTGGGTGGGTAAGAAGCTACACACCCACGTGATGTATTCAGACGCCTAGAGACTGGTTCTGCCTGTTCAGAGATCAGGTTTTATAATACAAGTAATCCCGGTACCGTTACTGGTTATGGTTAAATTTAATCACAGCTGAATAGTATTGAATTTATAACTTTGTAATGATTTACATACTTTTTTTTATTTGTATAGTTTAAATTTCCTTATTTCAGATTCCTTGTAGACATTTTGTTTTTCAATGTAAAAAACTGAATGTGTTGGAAATTCAGAAACAAATGGGATTTTTATTTTTTCTATATAATAATTTAATTCTTAACAAAGGTCAGTGGCTAATATCAAGAACTTTACCAGTACCAGTGTTGCTTTTTTGTTTAAACTATTAATAAAAAATAAAATCAAATAATAAGCAATAGTTTACTCCTTGCTGTATAAAATGTGGATTGTTTGTCTGTGTGAATGAATAAAATGTAGGCTAAATTGCACATTTAGGTATTAAGTTGCTTATAAATTAAAGTCATTGCTTCCCCAAACACAATTAAGAAAGTTACCAACATAGTAAAAGGCTCCTGATATCAGAATAGCCTTTGACCAGCAGAGGGCGCCTACAGAAGCTACAAAGACTCGCGAGAACAGACGATTCTCATAAACTCGTTCGGTCTCTTTATTTCTCGCGGTATTTCCTTCTTCCTCCTCTTTCACTCCCTGTAGCCAACATGGCAGTCGGCAAGAATAAGAGGCTGACCAAAGGCGGCAAAAAAGGTGCCAAAAAGAAGATGTAAGTAGGAAATTCTCACATCGCAACATGACAGAGGCTTTGTCCTTCACACTGGCGTCGGTTCGGTGCGAGAAATGTGAAGGATGAAGCCGATTTTAATCAGATGGCGCAGAGCTAGTGCTAGTCTCGTCACCGGCCTCTGTCTCAGTGGCGCTGGATGGAGTTGAAACATGCCGTGTCCCTAAAGTCTGCGCTGTGGTGTTCTGTCACAATTGCAATTGATTAAATTTCATTTAAGAGATTCAGCTTATTTAAACAGAAAGCTGTGCCAGTTTGGCCGTATAGTTACCGGTAGTAAACGTTATTTGTTAACGGCTACTACATGTTAGCATGGATTTAGCCGAGCTTACTTATCAATATGGCAGCCAAACGCTACAATTGGATGACTGCCGGTCAGGATAATTGTGCTGTATGCCATAAATTAGCAATCCAGGTGTCTTAATTGTGTGGTCATGTAATGAAGTAAAGTGACACCGGTGAATTAATAAGATGAACGTAAATCTTACATGGTTCCTGCTAGCCCGAGCAGTGTCCTTTGCAGTGCGTGCTTAGCTAGCATGCTAGCAGTGAGTCTGCTCTCTAGCCCACTGCTAGCTGCCCGGTTTGTTGGTTTAACTGTCATTTCTGCTCCACGAGTTTGTCCTAAGTGCTTGTGTCTCCCTCCTGCAGTGTGGACCCTTTCTCCAAGAAGGACTGGTATGATGTCAAGGCACCAGCCATGTTCAACATCCGCAATCTTGGCAAGACCTTGGTCACCAGGACTCAGGGAACCAGTAAGTCTACATAGTGTAAATTTTTAACATGTAGCTTAATGTGTAATAACATTGAGCTGTCTCCCATACATTAGACTGACAGTAAATACAAGCTCCACATGTAGATTGTCAGAGTAAGGCCAAATGAGACTGTCACAGTAAGAAATTTAGAGTTGAATTTTAAATCATGCTGTAAATGCACATGTTGACCTCTGCGGATACCCATGTGTTAGTTTTTCTTGGGTACCTGAGAATGTATGAAATTGACTTCAGAGACTGGCATTACTTTCAATTCAGCAGGTGCTTGTTGTCTAACATGTATGCATTATTCTTAACCATGTAAGGAATCGCCTCCGATGGTCTGAAGGGACGTGTGTTCGAGGTGAGCCTCGCTGACCTGCAGAACGACGAGGTGGCCTTCCGAAAGTTCAAGCTCATCACTGAGGATGTTCAGGGCAAGAACTGCCTCACCAACTTCCACGGCATGGACCTGACCCGCGACAAGATGTGCTCCATGGTCAAGAAATGGCAGGTAACTATCATGTTCACATGAACAGTACTGCATGTCATTCTGAAAATAACTGTAGTCAATGTGGGTTGAGGCAACAATACCAAATTGATATTAATTTGGCCTGTATTTGTTCTCAAATGTTTGAGATTCAATATGTAGCCATGTTTACAAGCTGATCATTTCAGAATATAATGTTAATTGTCAGGTTTATATGTCTTAAATGAAGGATGAATGCACCAACAACATGAGCTGATTTTATGAGCAGTTAAAGTGTTTAAATGAGGTTGAGCTGTGACTGGAGGGTCAGTTGGACTGCCTGGAAGAAGTTAACAGGAATTGTAGTTGATGTATCTACTTCTAGGTGTTTGATAACTTTCTTTCTGTTGTAATGTTAGAAATCAGAAGTTTTTGAATGTAGTTAAAGAGACCTCAGAAAAGAACATACATGGTTGATTATGGTTGCCTGGAGAAACGCATAAATACTAAATTAATTTGTGCAATGGAGTCATTAGCAGTCAGTCTGATTTTTGCCAGTTTTGTAGTGTGAGTGGTGGAATTTAAGACCTTTTATAAGATTGTTGCAGTAAATGGGTGAAGGTGCAATATTTTATTTAAGAGAAATACTTGTTAGTCGGATGTACATTGTCTCAGAATTTGAGAACTGACTGAGGTTTGATTTTAGTGTGAGGACTTCTCCTAAAGAGCAGTGATCCCTGTTTCCAGGTAACCACTGTTTAACAGATGATTGCAGTATGCTCTGCAGAGTTTATGGACAATGCTCTTCAGTCTTACTTCTGAGGATAGTTTGATTTTATTTAGCTCCATGAACTTGAAAAAAAGTTGAGTTATGTTGGTGTTTTGGTTGGGTTCCAGTCTCATATCTCAGTATCAATATAACATCTATCTTGCCCACCCCTAAAAGAAGCATTTGGGTAAAACAGTTTGTACTTGTGATAACTGGAGGAACGGTTACAGTTACTGGTATCAATACGTGGTTTTGGTTACAAAACTTTTGTGCTCGTGAAAATATGGAGGCATTATCGTAAATTATTATTCATCATCTTCTTCTTTTAATAATTTCACACATTCTACTTTCTAAAACTAGTTTGCTTCCTGAGGCATTAGATTAGTGTGTATACTAAACACTTAAGTGACCAAAACTGCAGTCTGGTGCAGAAGTTGTGAAAATATATCTTGTTTAAAATAACAAGTGTGTTGAACAGGTTGAGGGAAAGTGAGCACTGCAGAAATTAGAATATGGGGACTATTAAAAACAGAGAGGTGGCAGGTTGAGACTGTTTGGGGTGACATTTTCACTGTGAAGTCTAACAAGGATTGATATGTTCTCTCCACTCAGACCATGATCGAAGCCCATGTGGATGTGAAGACCACCGACGGCTACCTTCTGCGCCTGTTCTGCGTGGGTTTCACAAAGAAGCGCACCAACCAGATCAGAAAGACCTCCTACGCCCAGCACCAGCAGGTCCGTCAGATTCGCAAGAAGATGATGGAGATCATGACCCGTGAGGTTCAGACCAATGACCTGAAGGAAGTTGTCAACAAGCTGTAAGTCATGGTGACCTCCTTCTGCCTCTGAGTGACATTTGTTCATAGAATTTTTAATGACAACACAGATACAGCTTTGAAATTTAATGGCAGATTTTAAAATGTAATTCTTTACTGCATGTTCAAGATGAGCGTCTGTCAGTGGTGGCTTAATCGCTAAAAGTTATTAATGCCTGGCTGTTTTACTCATCTTGTCAGGATAGTTGTATTTGTCCAGAGTATAGTTTATATTTATGTAACAAAGTGTCCTGGTGTTCACTGAACATGCCACTTCTGTGAATAGTGATGACCGTTTGCATTAATGTGTTGTGTATTGTCGTACTCCAGGATCCCTGACAGTGTTGGTAAGGACATTGAGAAGGCCTGCCAGTCCATCTACCCTCTACACGACGTCTACGTTCGCAAAGTCAAGATGCTTAAGAAGCCCAAGTTTGAGTGTAAGTGACTCTCAGCTACAACACTGGCCATGCCTGTGGATTTTTCTTTACCACCGCCTACGGGAACGCATGATGACACTGTTTCGGTCCCAGATGATCACCTGATTAATATCTAATGATCACCTGACGTTCCCAAACAAGAACATACAGTCTCATGACTGTGTGGAAAGAGTGCAGCAATATGGTTTCCAGATTAGGTTGAGTGTGATAGATGAAATATTACAGTGTCATTGCCGTTTTCGCTGTAAACAACCAGCTTATGTTTTGCACTGTCCTGTGTGTGTTCCAGTGGGCAAACTGATGGAGCTCCACGGTGAGGGCGGTGCCGGCAGCGCTGCAAAGGCATCCGGTGATGACACTGGAGCCAAGGTGGAGAGGGCTGATGGCTATGAGCCCCCCATCCAGGAGACAGTTTAAAACACCCTGACAGATTTAATAAAAAATGTAAATGACCAACAAACTCTCCTGTTTTTCTTTCTGTCTTGTGCTTTTGTGCTTACAGGAAGAGAAGAAGCACATTTTGTGCATGATAGGAGGCACACAGAATATAAACTTCTACAAGCAATGGAATCAAATTGAATAGCCCTGCAGAACTTTGAAGCTTGTGTTCATTTGAGGCTGTTGTCCTAAACTTGTAATTGCACCATATTATATTACAAGGTGTTCCTATTTTGTACCCATATGGGATTTAAGGTGGTGTCTTAAATCCAATTTTATAAATATTAAGTCTAATAAGTCTCCAAATAGCCTAAATTTAATTTCAATTGCCACAAATATTTTATGTAATTTCATTTATCCATCCTATATTTTTTGTGTTTGATCTAATTAAGCTCCTCTGCGTTAACTCCCCTGAAACCTGGAGCCTTTCACAAGTATTTAAACCTTTCAACCCTGAGCAAATTGGTGGCATTTCTTTCAAAAACACGAGAAAAAAAGGCACTGAGCAACTTGGAGATGTCTCGCAAATTGAAAAAAAAATGGAAAAATAATATATAAATAAAATACTTAAAAAAAAGTAGGAGGGAAAAGTAGAAAAAGCATAATATGATTTATTTAAATAAAAATATTTGGAAAATTACTTGACAAAGGGGGAAAAGCTAGGGGAAAAAAACTTTAATTTTATAATTATGTTACAGAACAATTTTTAAGCTCATTGCTGGTCATTTCCTTCTTTTAAATCTTTTAACTTTTTTTATTGCTAAATTTCTCGACTAATTTCTTACTGATTAAGGTGGTCATTTTTTCCATTGTTCATTGCCTTCTTGCCTTCCATGTTTTAAAAAAAATTAAGCAAATTTGCTCAGGTTTCACAGGGCTGAAGTTCAGATTTCAGATGTTAGAACATTTTTAAACCTGCCACTGAAACCTACCGTCTTTTTATTTTATACTTGCACTTACATGTTTACAAATGTAGATTAACCCAGCTAATAACCACATAAAACCTACTTATGATTTGTTGAAAAATCTGTCTTAAATGTTAATTATATTTAAAGGGTCTTAAAAGCATTTTAAATTATCGATACCTGTAAACACCCCAGGACCAACAATCTGACAATCTATGCTAACTTCTTGGGAATATTCCATATAGTCTAAACTCTGCGTTTGGGGTGATCACCTTCTACTTACTTCTAATATTTTGTAAATCCAGGGAAAATGAAAGTTAAAATCACGGATTCTAATAATAGTGAAGCAGGACAGAACTCAGCAGGGCCTCTGAGCCAGTAATCTGGTTGCAACATCCTTATTCCCCTGAAGTAGCCTGACCTCTATATGAACCTAATTCCATGTGATAAATAAACCGACTTATGAAGACCATCTGCAGTTATTAAAATGTTAATGGAAATACTGTAACTTGAGTTAACTAATGAGGAAATAATAAACCACTAGATGGTGTACATCTACAGTTGGTGAAGAATTCAAAAGACAGTGAATCAAAATAAAGCATATTAAAATCACCAGCCAGCTTTACTCGTGTTTATTTATAAGCATGATAAATTATTCAGTGAACACTTTAACTTAACCCAGCAGATGGAAAAAACATGTTGCACTACTCAGAGATGAAATAATGCATTCCAGTTAAAGACGGTTTAATTCCACTGCTGAAAACATCTGTCCTCAGATCTCAGTTCTGGTTCTCCAACAGTGTCCTTTTGTTGCTGTCCATAAAGCCATGTGACACTATCACAGGACTTGCACATAGTTTTTGGGGACCAGGGCCCGTTTCCCTCTCAGGTCACCCAGGAACCATTCGTCATCAATGGACTCCAGATCTGTTATAATGTCCCCAACCTGAGAGAGAGGGAGTCAGAGAGGTTATCTGAATGGCAACATTTATATACATAATTTGATCTGTGAATTTGTGCCATTTATACCTAACAGGAGAAAATATAACAATCACCATACCTGCAGTGAGAGCTCCTCATCACAGTCTGAGGTGAAGCTGAACAGAGCTCTGCCTCTGACACCAGCAGCCGCCTGCTGGCCTGCTGAACAACACATAGAATGAATTAATGAATGATAATAATGTTAGTTCAGTAAAACTGGCCATTTGTACCAATTAGAGCTGAAATAATTAGTAGAATAATGGGTGGACAATAATTTAAATACGTGTACAAGTACATATACCATACAATATCCAGTTCAAGCTACTTAATTGTGAATATTTGGAGCTTTCTTTGACTTCTGAAACAGTAAAGTGAATATCTTGGTCAGGCTAAACAAGCAGTCTCAGGACATCACCTTCAGTTTTAGTAAAATCGTGAGAGGCACTTTTATAGACAAGTTGGTTAATTGAGAAATTAATTGGCAATTGATAGTGACAGTAATCACTGGTTGCAGCTTTTCCTCATTAAATGGGTCTTTGAGGGGAGTTTCTACTTATCCTAAGCGAGGGTCCGAAAGGACAGAGGGTCGTAAACCTGCCTGAGGCAAATTTGTGATTTGATATTGGGCTTTATAAATAAAAACTGACTTGACCTGAACTGACTGGCAACAGATTAGAAGTACAGGAGATAATGATGAACATAAGGCAGTAACTCTGTCATATCAATAATAAACTGATGCCGTGAGGAGAACTTCATACCTGCGCTGCTCTCAACAAAAGCCCTGGGGAACATGCCCTCTCTGCCGTTGAGCCGACCGCGGCTCCACTCAGCATCAATGTGCTGGCTGATCAGGATACGGTCGCCCTGTTGAAACGACAGGTCATCTTCTGAATTCCCGGTATAGTCATACAGAGCCACCACCCACTCCACACCGGACTGAGACACCTACAGAGAGAGCAGGACCAGAGAAGAGAGCATAGAATTTTGGGTGTGTTGGAAAACCAGCATCATCCTCACTGATGGTTCCATTGATGTAAATATATTACCTGAGCAGGTTTGGTAACTTCAGGTTGCACAGTCGGAGAAGCAACCATGCCTGTGGGACAAAAATGGCACACAGGTTATTAAAAATGAAACAAATATATCATCCAATCAGGGAACAAAATACACTTTTAATTTTTATTTAAGATTACAGATCGAAAATCTCTTTTATAAGAGAGACCTGGCCGAGGTAGCAGCCAATCAAAACACATTTAATATGCAACAAATACAACATATAATACAAAGATCCACAGTAAAACAACAACTATTCAAACATGGTAGCCTCTCAAGAAAAACAAGCACATGTCTCATCACATTCCTTATGATGCCCTTAAATTCATCATCATTCATTCATTAAATTCATTTTAGGTAATTACTACTAATATAATTGTGTTTTATTAAAATAATGCAGTGCCTCCTCCTGTATTTTTTATCTTTATTTTTTTTTACTTGGAATGGAAGTTTAATACTTAAAAATTTGAGGCTAATCCAAGAATTTGTTACTGTGTATATTTAAATTTGGGGTCTTGTAGGAAACAAAAAAATATGAAAATTCAGTATTTATATTTATAAGATTCAGTATTTCCCCCCAGATGGTATATCAAAAGGCCTTTGATACAGTGTTTCAAATGTCATGATGGGAAATAAAACTGTGAAGTATAGGGAAAATAGAGACAAAGTTCTGTGCAAGTTAATTTTAGAGTTAGAAAGTTAGAGTTTAGTTCATTGTGTTGTGTTTGAAGTGCTTGATCGCATTAAGAAACCTGCAAAATTATAGTTTAACAGCTTAATGAATGAATAGAATATGATTAAAGAAATGAAGAGCGAGGGACTTAAACTCCTGACCTCAGTATTTTTAAACTCCCTTGTTGCATGAGTGTGTCGAGACCTTTTGTAAACAGCTCTTTAATGAAAAAGAAACACTAGCTCAAATTCCTGACGTGCCATTGAGCGAAATGCCAGCCAACATAAAGCAAAAGGATGGACACTGGTGGCCACATAAGCACATAGAGAAAGGAATTAACAGATTTATCTTACCAGGCAGTGCTATCCTGATGGACTGTCTCTTCTGCTGACTTGGTTGTGGAGGCAGATCTTCAATGACCTCTACAAAGTTAAGAGGGAAGATACCGGTCAAGGCACCGCGCTGTCCCCGAGCCCACTCCTGTCCAATGTACGCCTTCAGCTGGATCACATCCCCCTCAGAGAACGTCAGCTCGTCACTGTTCTCACCCTCAAAGTCGAACCTAGCCACGCATCTCGGGCCACTTCAGGAGAGGCAACAACATTTCAAACAGATTAGTTCATCAGGGTGGTTTGTAAAGGCTAACAGTTTATGATGTAGAAACAGTACCTGACTGTTGCAGGTGGTGGCTTGGCTTTCCGTTCAGGGAGGGGCTTTGGTGAATTTGACTGGTTGGAGAAAATGATAGTGAATTTTCTTAACCACAGCAGACATCTCTCAAGAGGTGATCAGTGCTTTGCAAGAGCAGGAATGGATTTAAATGGTTGAAACTCACCAGGACTTTGACATGACTGACGGGAAAGAAACCGGTAGATCCCCTACAAGTGCCTCTGTACCACTCACTGTCCACCTGCTCCACCATGGTCACGACATCCCCTGCTCTCAGACCCAGCTCACCTGGACCCTCTGTGGTGTGCGGACCAAACACGTGTTTATGGTCAGAAAACATAATCTGAGCTCAAAATGTGCAAATCCAAAACAACAAATCATTTGAAGAATTAAAGTTACACTCATTTACATTTGGATTATTTTCAGCCAGCTGGTGGACTCTTCAATCTTTTGACTTTTGCTGCCAGGAAAAATATGTTGCCATTTTGGACCAAGGATGCTGCTCCAACAAAAAGTCTTTTAATGCAGTGTGCTTCCCGTGAATGTATCTCTTGTAATCTTCACTCCAGTAGAGGCTTTTTATAAAGTCTGGGACCCTTACTTACAATACATTGGACCTGCACTGTCATCTTCCATGTTAGAAGGGTTTCCTAAATCATCTTAGCAAGTCTCTGTACATTGCCTCGGTACCTAGTCCTGCTGGTGTGCATGTTAGTGCAAATCTGGAAACCATTTTTCGAC